TTTTATCAAACCAGTTTTGTCAAATGGGGGCGTGCTAGGCGTGTGATGGATTGCTCTTGGGCCTTGTAAGACTCCTGAGGACTTCAAGAGGATGGTTTGAGGCTTGGTGTCAATTGAGAGAGACCGGAACCTCGAGATATGACTTGCACCAATTCTTTGATTTCTGGAGCTTTTTGAAGAGTTTTTAGAGAGCTTTTTGAGAGCTTTTTAGAGAGGAATTTCGTGTCTTTCAAGCTTGTATGGCTCTATATTTATAGAGGAGAATGAGGAGACAAGAAAGCATGGAAAGAATCTCCCTCATAATGTTGTGTTTTAAGACCATGATCAAGATTTGAAAAAAAAATGTCATATTTGATGATTTTATGCCATTTTCACATGTGGATGAACCTGGACATATTTGAAGGGTTATTGCACGAAATCAATTGACATAAACCAGCATAAAACTTTTCCAAAATGGATTCACATCAAAATTTACATTATTTCTATTATTTATTTATTTAATTCTCAATTTTAATGAATAAAATATCAAAATAAATAGCATAAATAGTAGAAAATGTATGGGTGGGCTTAGAGGTCGTGGACCATGTTAGGAATGAGTTTCAAACTTGAAAAGATAGGCCCATTTGGAAAAAATCCAAGTTTGGTCAATATTTGCTTCATGCATTTTTTTCAAAAATTGTCCAACTTTGATAATGCACATCTCTCTCAATTTTAACCTTATGAGGGTGTTCTTGGACTTTTTAGAAAGCTTAGGATGTAACCTGAGCAACCTCTTTGGTTTGATCTAAATTGGATCTTCCATGTTCATGTAAGAATCATTGACCCAAAAGGTGTTTTTGTTGACTTTTCAAAATGACCTATAATGTCCAAATTTATATCTTCTGGTTAGTGCATATTTTGAACTTGAGAGCTGAAGATGAATTGTAGGGAATTACATCCTATTAAAGATGATATTTGGATGGGTCATTTCTGATAAAGTATGAGAAAGTTATGCTTGGTCAAAGTTGAGTTGACTTTTCCTACAAAACCCTAATTTAGCAACTTTTGGGTTTTGATGAATTGTGAGCAATCCTTGAGGAATCATGATCAACCCTTGATAAAATGATTAATAATACTTCAAAATGAGGATGTTGACCAAAAATCTTGAAGTTTGACTATATGTGGGCCACAGATGACTTTTGTCCTAGCACAATCGACTTTTAGGCCTTTGAGCAATTGATTGAGCAAACTTTCTCTGCAAGGCTTGAAACTTGATATGGATGATCTTGAGAACATATTAGGACAATAATAAGCATTTGGGGCCCTTTGGACTCAAACATCTTGATGCAAAATAAAACCCTAATTTGAGGTAGACTGCCTTTAGGAGAGAGTTTGTCTGGTCAACTCTTGGACTTCCTTGGGCAATTTGAAGATCTTACTTGAAATGTATTGAGAAATATGAGAGGTAAAATTTTGGGGTACAACACCTGCTTTCTTCAATTCACAAGGCAAGAGCTTCCCTCATGCTAGCACCCACAGGGGTTTGGCTATTTTCATACTAGCTTCGACTGGATAATATCCCCCTTTGAAATAGCTTGTTTCAATCCCACCCTTGAAAATCTTCAACACACATAGTTCCTACTCTATGACACACAATGAGTGTCCCATTCGAAGGACATACATTATTGGGTTTGAGGCACATATTTGGACGTCCCATTCGAAGGACATACATTGTTGGATTTGAAGCACATAGTTGGATGTCCCATTCGAAGGATAAACATTGATGGCTCATTCGAAGAGTTGCATGTGGTCCATTCGAAGGACACACCTTGGATGGAAACCAAATATTATTGTATGAAGAAGATTATGGTCGAATGTTGGACCTATGTGGTCAAAATAAAAGGTTGAAGTATCCAAAGATGCTTGTTGGCCAGAGTCCTATGTGCTGCCAAGTATAAGCCTGTTGCACTAGTCACAACACTCTAAAACTGCTACAAAGCAGTCCTGCTACGCTGCTCCCATATTTGCACCAAATTGGCATACAAAAACTGCACCTCAAAGGCTACAAAAACAGCATACGCAATTTGTTCAAATCTCATTTGTTCCCCCCCCCCCCCCCAAACCTCAGGCAATTTCATATATAAATAAGATGTTCCACAACACATCTTGAGGGGGCTTTTGAGTAGCTAAGGAAACTTTTGTGGTGTGAAAAGAATCATTACAAACTCTCAAACTCTCAAACTCTCACAAAAATCTCAAATCCCTTCATACATTATTCAACCCAGAATCAAAAAAGAAACACTACACTTTTGTTCTTTCTTTCAATTCCAAGTTTCCTTGCCCTTCTAATAGCCTCTTTCCTTCCTTCGAATCCAAGAGTATCCCAGGGAAACAACTCAAGTCCAAAATCCACATTCCAGCTTCAAGCAAGGTAAGTCCTCTTAACCTTAAAACTTTCGTTTTAAGCATAACATGTAAATAACCATTTTCTTTCGTTTCAAATATCATTATTACCCTTTGGTTTGTTTTCGTTTCCACCTTTTTTGTTTGTTTTCGTTTCTAATCTTTTGGTTTGTTTTCTTTGTTTGTCAAACACATTTTAAGAACTAACCTGACCATAAAACAATATTAGCATGGCTTCAACCCATGCTACTATTTAATCCCAAACGAAAGAAAATAGGAAGAAGGTTGTGTGAATCGAAGCCTTAGGCTTTGCCTGATGCTGCTATCTGACCCTAAATAAAAGGAAACAAAAACAAAGATGGTGTGAATCGAAGGTTACAGACTTCGATACACACTGGTTACAGGCTTCACACGAAACAAAGCAGAAAAATGATGAATCGAAGGGTGCATGCTCACACTGACTTTCAGTCCCAATCGAAAGAAGCAAGAAAGAGTTGAGTCAAAGGGTGCTTACTGCTTGGATCGAAGAACTTGTTTTCTCTTATTTTATTTTATTTTATTTTTATACATTTTTCTTGTTGTTCAATATGGTTGTAATAGTGTAAGACCTCTATTTTCTGTATTTTATTTGTTTTCATAAATGTTAGTAACTAGGTATGTATGACAAGATTAAAACCAACGCTTAGACCACACTAATCAAAGACAAAAAATGCATGCAATCAAACACACTACACACACATGCACCTCTAGGATAATCTCACTTGTTGCCTCAGAAAATAGTCATGTCCCTCGAATATGGACATTTTAGCAAAGAATCTCGATAAAAGATCGTAGTCCCTCGATGTTGCCTTCGGTAAACGATCTAGTCCCTAACGAAATTGCTAAAACGTCTCATAGGTTGTCTTCTATGACTATACAAACGACCCACGCTCGTCCCTTCACATCTAATGATGGGGCTTCTTATCGATCAATGGTAAGATAGCAACATCTAAAGGAGGAGGAAAAGAACAAAGACCTTTTGAGTAGGTAGGATGCTCGTAGTTGCTTGCTCACAACTAAAAAACCATTTTCACACCAACACTTTCAATTGAAACATTTTCAAAAGTTAAAACACTCTGTACGCATTCTTATAGAGACGAGAATCATTACAAAGGCACTTTTCAAAATCACTTTCAAAAAACATCTTCCACAAACACCTCTTTGAATTATTTTCAAAATCAACACTTTGTACGCATTCTTATATAGATGAGAACCATTACAAAGACGTTTTTCAAAATATTTTCAAACCCACACCACAAAGCATATTTTCAAATAAGCAAGTGATCTAGCAATCAACTAAGAGTCTGTAGATAACTACGAATAAAAAGGGTACTAATATATTCTTTTTTCATAACATACCCTCGAACTCAAGAAAACATATGTAAAGGTCTTTCTTGTTCTTTTCACCATTTTCTTATTGGATAAAAGAAAAGTCGGTGGCGACTCTTGATATCCGCAACAATTGCGATTAAACGCAAAACACCCAAGTCAATTCTCCCACCATATTACAACTACATACCTTAAGTTTTGTTCCACAAGTCATCTTTTTCAACAATTGATGTTTTTTGCTGCGAGTTGATAGATTTGCTTAAAGGTTTAACTACCTTGAGTATTTGCATTACTGTGATTCACATTCATTACAGACCATTCTTGATTTTCAGGTTAAATTGCCCTTTCTGATAGACAGATCTCGTGTTCCTTTGTTTTGTAGGTATATGCATTGTTCAACATCATGCTTCTTTATAGGCACCATATGGATGTTCTTCCAGTTATACATTTGCTTTGTGATTAGTGTATTGTTTGCTACATCATTTTTTTAATCAATCAACGAAAAAGAAAAGGGACATTAATTGTTGTGCAAATTGTTTGATGGTAATCGAGGTTTCTTTTGTCTTTTCCATGACATGGAACTATATCATTCAAATAGAATAGGGACGAGTCTAGAATTATAGTTTATAGGATTTTTAAACTTGTGCTTGATATCATTTTATTTACTCATTTGTCTATAAAATGATATAAACCCTTCAATTTTATAGACTCATTTGTCTGGTTTCATGGCATGTTCATTCTGTCATAAGTTTCAGTTAATCTTGTTCTATTACCACTTAGACATGATCTTAATGAGACTAGTCCACAATAGAGTTTTTAGTTGATAATCAAATTTAAATTTAAAATTTGGGTCTACTTCGAATTTAGGACAAATAAAAGATAAGTATAACATCTCCAATTTGTGTCGTACACATTTAAATTTTGTTTCTTTCATATGCATCTGACAAAATGGGTGGAGCGTGTCGAAGTGACCAACTCATTAAGGGATTGTTTGTTGATCTCTTGCTAGTTCTCTGACACTTTGGTGAAAAATGTATTTTATCTCTTTGAAAACGCGCCATAACACAACAAACCACCTCACTAAAAACAAAAATAGCACTCAAGTATTCATCCCACATAATTGGTACAGAAAAATTGTTCATACATTGTTACTGGATAATAATTATTTTATAAAGATAACTCTTCATCATAATGAAAAATGACAAATACCTATAAAATATGATAAGATACATTCTGCTTAACCAGGAGAATCATTGTTTGACATTCTCTAAATACCATTTATAGGTATCCACAAGCCCGTCCTTGAGTGAGACTTTCGGTGTCCAACCAAGGGCAGCAAGTTTTGAGCTATCCATCAGTTTTCTTGGTGTCCCGTCCGGTTTAGTACTATCCCAAACGAGATCGCCTTCAAATCCCACCACTTCCTTCATCGACTCCGCCAATTCCTTAATAGTAACCTCTTTTCCACTCCCTACATTCAAATGCTCAAGTCCACTATACTTTTCCATCATAAAGACAACCGCATCAGCCAAATCGTCGACGTGTAAAAACTCCCTCAATGGACTCCCTGTACCCCACACCACTACCTCCTTGGCGTTGTTGACTTTCGCCTCGTGAAACCTCCTCATCAAAGCAGGTAAAACATGTGAATTCTCGGGATGGAAATTGTCATTTGGTCCATATAAGTTGGTCGGCATCCCTGAAATTGCATCCCACTTGTGCTGAATTCTGTAAGCCTGGCACATTTTGATCCCGGCAATCTTGGCAATTGCATACCATTCATTTGTGGGCTCCAAGGGGCCGGTGAGCAAAGCGTCCTCCGAGATCGGTTGTGGTGCAAATTTAGGGTAAATGCAAGAGGAACCCAAAAACAATAGCTTCTTAGCACCGTTGCGATAAGCCGAATCAATGACATTGGTCTGGATTTGGAGGTTGATGGCAATGAAATCAGCAGGATAGGTATTATTAGCATGAATTCCACCAACTTTGGCAGCAGCTACAATCACAAACTCCGGCTTCGAGGAAGCAAAAAAGGCTTCAACATCAGATTGTCGAGTAAGATCAAGCTCCGCATGAGATCTCAAAATAAGATTACTAAACCCAAGTTGAGTCAGCTTGCGAACAATGGCCGAGCCAACAAGACCACGGTGACCCGAAACAAAAACCTTAGCAGATTTGTCACCTAGAAACGAACTTGACAATGCTGCAGCAAACACATACAAAAAAATCACAAATTCAGATACTGGATCAATATGATTCATCTAAACAACCACCTTTGAATCTGGTAAAATTCTGCATTACTATTACTAACTATGAAACATGGACACCAGAAACACAAAACCTACACTGACACGTTGACACACCGGTAATAACTTGCAAATTTGAATAAATTAAACAGAATCACAAGTTTGTCGGTGTCAGTTTCAGACACCGCCAACACAGACACACACTTTTTTTCCAGAGGTATCGGTTTACTACTTTGCTAGTCTAAGAATTAAACGATTCAAATAGAACCAAATAGAGGAAACACATGAATAAGAGAAAAACAACAACCTATATTGTCTTGGCCACCCATTTTTGAGGATTGATACAAAGCTACTCCCACTTCCAAATTCCAAATCAAATCCTGAAAAGAATCAAATTTCGGTTACCATTACAAACGTTAACAAAAACCCACTTCCGAAATAACGAAATAACGAAATAACAAGAGGGGTGAAGCAAAAATTGAAACTTTACCGAAAATTTGAAGCGAGCAAAAGGAACTGAGAGGCCACACGGATTTTTGGGTAAGAGAGAATCCGATCCAACGGCTGAACTGAACTCCGGTGAATCGGAGTCAGTTAGTGGAAGGTTAGATCTGAATGATTCCGGCAAGATCAAATGAGAGATGATTTTCTGAAGTCTCTTTCTCTCAGTTTTATGCTATTGTTTCAACTATGTAAATTGAATTCAAAGGGTAAATTTTATTAACCTCACCATTCTAATTGCTACTAGTATCAAATTAATCCTAATTATGTTGTAATTTGCTCTCAAATAAATCACTTTATAGCTTAACTATTTCCTACACTTTATATCGGAAGTTAGTGAAATAATTTATAGAGAGTTAATAAAATATATCATTAATATTATAAAATTAACAATAATAATATTATCAATATTCAAAAATTAATTGACTGAGAGATGATTTTGATGTTAACGAATTCAATCTTATCATAATATATAAATTTTATCGAGTATATTTTAATTTAAATATGCATTATTATTAAAATAATTTAAAACTTTAACTCATATACTTAGTTGTTAGATTTTGGAGATCTTTTTGAAGAAATTATTATTTTAAAAACTTGTCAACATAACTATTATCGATTCAATTGAACTTTTTTTCTTCTTAAAAATTATTTATATTTTTTTAAAGTGAAATAATTTGTTTCTTAAAAATATTTTAAAACTTTAAATCATATACTTTGTTGTTAAGTTTTAGAGATTCTATCGGAAAATTTATTATACAAAATTTAAAATAGTATTTGTACAATCTTTCATTCATGACATGATTATACCATAAAAAAACAAAAACAAAAACAAGAGTAAAACATAAATATAAATAAATTTTAAAAATAAAATAAGAATTTTATAAAAAAAATATATCAACAAAAATGAAAGCAACATCAATGATACATCATTTTTTAAACATATCTCAATTTAAAAATATGGATATGAAAAGTTACGCATCATAATTTTTTAAACCACTTTAAAACCAATCAAATAAGTACCAAAATAATTTATAAGAAAATTACCTTACATATCACGCATATATGTGAACAATTAATCCAACATTATTTCACAAAAAAACAAAAACACACTAGAAATTAAAAGAGAGTGAGTGATAATATTATATGTAATTTAGCAAGTAATTTATATTTTTAAATTAATAAGTGTGAAGTATCTCGTGAAAAAAGTATTTTGAATGATTGTGATGTAGACGAAGAAGAAACAAATTTAAATTTGAAGGATTTGAGTGACATTGAGGATAAAAATAGTGATGATGGATTTGAAAGTGAAATTGAGGATGGAATTTAAGATGTGATTCATAATTATTGTAGGTTAACAGGCGTGCATGTGAGTTTGATTATGAGGTGAGACACATGTCATATAATAGAGAAAAGTATAATGTGAATCTGTCCACTAAAGAGTGTTCTGGTAGGAGATGGATGCTGAGAAGTTTACCATATTGATGTGTTAATTCTTTAGACGTACACTCGTGCGATACACAATTATGTTTTATTTAAATATTAATGATAATTAATATAATTTTAAAAATATTAATATAAATAATATTTATATGAATTACATCTCTAATTTATAATATAATTTAGTTGTTTTGATGTTTTATAGTATTTTTAACTATTTAAAATAAATTTTATAAAATAAATAATTAAAAAATAGAGGAGTTATACTTGACATCAAATTAATAATTGAAATAGAAATAAATAGAATTGTGAAATTGAGATAGAAAAATACACATTTTATATTTGATAAAAAATAATTAAAAAATTGTGTAGAACTCAATGACAAAATTACAAATAAAATTAGAAAAGATAATTAACACTATATGTTGCCTATTTTTTTAATCCAATATCTTATTATTATAGATTGAAAAAGAGGACGTGAAATTAAAAAAATTATAAATGAAAGTTTACAAACAATTGTGATTTATTGTAGTTAGTGAATTATACAAAGAGGTTTAAATAGTAATAAAAAAGACTATTTATCCTTTTTTTAGTCTTTTTATTTTATTATTATTATTATTATTATTAATTAATGAGTGAATTAATAAAAATAAAAAGGTTATGATGTGTGGTTAGTGCTAGTGAGAGATTTCTTTTTGATGTATTACTGGTTGATTACATTAATAGTTAGTGGTTGATTTTTATTTGTTGATTTTATCAATTTCAAAATAATTAATTAATAAGTTGATTTTTAATTAGTAGGGGATGTAATATATAATTTACTTAATTTTTGAATTTTTATTTAATAAAAATATATAAATTAATGTCTTAATTTTAGGCATTACTTTAAATTAATATTTAATTATTATTTTTAATTACATTACCACTAATTAATGTTTTTTAGTAAAGTGGAATTCTATAGCACATGTCATATGTTATTCAGAAAATATATTTTTAATATTAATTAATTTAATATTATTGATTATTTAGAAAACATAATAAAAATTAACAAACAAAATAAAAAAGAAGACATTTATTTTAATTCACCACTTTCATAACAGCTTTTTCGAAAATATAATTAAAAATAAATAAATAAGAAAAAGAATAAAAATGAAATCAAATCACATTAATGAAAATGAGATTGACACTCCATCTATGAATATATTTAAATATCACTGAATACTTTGTATTTTAGATATTATCTACATTACAATAACAATTTTAAAAAAATACAACAAAATTACAACAAAATAATTATTTAAAATAGATAAAATAAGGAGAAAGAAAGAAGAACTATAAAAATTATCTATGAATATTCTTAGATACTAATTTAGATATCATCTGCAATTACAATAATATTGAAGAAAAAAAAGTAACACAACAAAATTGCAACAACTTAAATAATTTAAAATAGAGAAAATAAGAAGAAAGAAAGAAGACTCATAAAGTTCATCTAAAAATATTTTTAAATTTTTAAATACTATTGTAATTTAGATATTGCATGTAATTAACTATAAAAAAAATTAGTATAACAAAATAGCAAGAAAATAAATAATTTAAAACAGAAAAATGATAAGGAGAGCAATTGCAATAACAATGGAAAAAAATTAGTATGAAAATGAGATTGACACTCCATCTATGAATATGTTTAGATATCACTCAATACTTTATATTTTAGGTATTACCGGCAATTACAATAACAATTTTAAAAATATAATACAATAAAATTACAACAAAATAATTAATTTAAAATGGATAAAATGAGGAGGAAGAAAGAAGAACTATAAAAATCATGTATGAATATTTTTAGTTACTAATTTAGATATTTCTTGCAATTACAATAATATTTAAAAAAAATTAACACAACAAAAATGCAACAACTTAAATAGTTTAAAATAGAGAAAATAAGAAGGAAGAAAGAAGATCCATAAAATTCATCTAAAAATATTTTTAAATTTTTAAATACCTTTGTAATTTAGATATTGTCTGCAATTGCAATAATAATAAAAAAAAAGATTAATATAACAAAATAGCAATAAAATAAATAATTTAAAACAGAAAAATAATAGAAAGAAAATCTTATGAGCAATTACAATAACAATGAAAAAAATTAGTATAAAAAAATAACAACAAAATAAATTATTTAAAATAAAAAAAAATGATAAGGAAGAAAATCTTATGAGAATGAAAGTGTAATTTAGATATCGCCTATAATAACACTAACAATGGAAAAAATTAGTACAACGAAATAACAACAAAATGGAAGCATAAAATAAAACACAAAAGTTAGAAGAATGAAAAAAATTCCTAAAGCAGGTTGAATTTGATGACATGCATTATCTATAAATAGATATTTAATTACTGGAAAAAACAATTACTATTTATTTGGAACGTGTGCATTTTATTAAGAGTGAAGGTGTGCAATTTATAAGTATTTAAATATTTAGTTAGTGGAAAAATCAGTTATTTATTTTGAGCGTGTGCATTTTATTTTGAGCGTATGCTGAACTACATATAATATTATCATAAAATTAATTAAAAATATGAAGAGAGATAATGAAGTTAATAAGTTAATATTTTTAAATTAAAATAAATTAATATTAATAATTATTAAATTAACATTAGTTTTGGCTCCAAATTTTTTTTAAGAGACTTAATAATTTTATTTAATTTTTATATATATATATATATATATATATATATATATATATATATATATATATATATATATATATATATATATATATATATATATATATATATATATATATATATATATATATATATATATATATATATATATATATATATATATATATATATATATATAATTGATATTTTACTTTAAGTGATGAAGATGGTGTTGATAATCACCTTAATTTTGATGATGTGATTGTATCCAAAAACACTCCATCGATCAAGTAAATTATTGGAGGTCGTGAGTGTGATGTTTAAGATTTAAAATAATTAGTACAATTGTCTTAATTACTCTTTTAGACTTTATAGTAACGGTCTAAACTTTAAAGGTCGTAAAATTGTTTTTGAGATAACTGTTTCAATGGACATATGTTAGACGATCATGTAAGATATGCATTATCTGAAGGTCTCCAGAAGTTGTTAGCCATGGTCTGACGTGCCTATAGGGTGTTATTATTTCTCGATCTATTTTGCTTTCTAAGATTTGAGTGACCTGATTTTCTGTGGATTGAGCTTTGGTTCAATTCTATACAGGCAATTCCCCAAGTCTTAGCTGGCTAAGTCAGGTTATGGCTTTGTCACTGACTACATGACAATAATGTGTCTTGACATGCATGAACATGATCTCCTTCCCTTGCAAATGGGAAGGAATTTTTAAGGACACACGTTGAGTTAGAATTTAATTTGGATTGTCGCTCTGGCCATTGCTTTATCACGAGATTTGTCGGTTGCCTTTGAAAACTTGAGTGATATATGTCACATGTTTTTCACCCTTTAAAATTTGTAGGAGATCGAAGGTCGTAATGATTTATCCGTTCATGCATGTTTTTATTCATCATCAAAAGCATTATGTGGACTTGTCTCGACCTTTAGCCCCCCTGGGAGTCCAGGTGGTCTAAGGCGAGGCACACATTAATTATTATGCAAAGATTAAGGTGCAATGATGATTTCTTTGAAAATTAAAGTTGTTGTTTTTTTAAATGACACGTCATTATTGTA